TTCTTCCTGTCTCACTCTATCCATTTGGGGAAAACATTTTCTGTTTTCCCTGAAAGGTAAAGCATCAGGTGAACAGATAGTCTCTTCTACTACTGGGTATACACCGATTCTGTGTTAGGTGGTGTTAGCTGGTTAAATAGTGGGTCTGATGATTGCATGACATTATGTCTGAAAGACTCAGTTTTAGACAGTCTACTGTCACACCCTAAGCCTGTTTATAAGTTTGGAAAATAATCCCTACAGCTACTAATAATTTACAAGGTCCCTTCTCTGTGTGTGAAGAGAATGGTCCTCCTGAAACCAAATTAGAGGACCCCTAGTGAATGAAGAATTGCAATCTGGCTCCTTGACCTCTGCTACTCTTCCAAGGAGGAGGCTCTTCCAAGTCTGGAGAGAGACGCGGCTGGAAGGGGGCTGGGTAAGAAGCCCATAGCTCCTTTTTACTAAGTTTTAATTCTGAGGTTATTTTGCTCCTCTATAGGTGCACACATTGTACTTGCCTTCCACCAAACCACTGTGCCAATGGATGCTTCCCTGCCTGCCCCTTAAATTCTTTCACAAAGTGCAAGATTTATTACTGCTTTATTTTATGCTATGTTTTGTTATTTATATTTCACAGGTGCGTGAAACTATGTGATATCTTTCAGTTTCTGACTTATTTCACTTAATCAACTTGAGTTCCATTTACTTTGCCCTCAAAGCAACTATTTCATCTTTTTAATAGCTATGTAGTATTCCGTCAAGCATATATTTCAGTTTCTTTATCCATTCATCTATTGGAGGGCATGTAAGTGGCTTCATAATTTGGAAATTGTAGACAGTTCAGTTATGAACATAGGTGTATATAAATCTTTTTGTATTAGTTTTCATATTTTTAGGGTTTTTAATATAGGTTTGGCAGGATCATATGGAGTTTCCATGTTTATTTTCTTAAGAAATCTCCATACCAGCTGGAAAAGATCATGCTTAGTGAGATAAGCTAGAAAGAGAAAGAAAAATACCGGATGGTTTCGCTCATAGCAGGAGTATAATGGACTAGGCAAGAAAATAATACGAATAATGAACAGCCATATACCAGAGACATTTTGTGGGGGTGGAGTGGGTAATGGGATAAAAAACGGGGAGGGGGGAGGGAAGTGCATGGGACTATGGTGATGGGAAACCCAAGGGATTACAATTGAGATGCAAAAAAAAATGTAAGAAATGATGTAAAAATAAACTTATATTATAAAAAAAAATGATAGCCATCATAGAAACATTAACACAACTGCATGCATGTCAAGTTGTTGAGGAATGCACAAATCTCGTAGTGAATAAATGTACTGTACTTTGAAAAAGGAAAAAAAAAATCATACCACTTTCATTAGGCATTGTACGAGCTTGCATTCCCACCAACAGTGGATGAGTTTCTTTTTCACCATAGCCTCATCAACATTTGTTGTTTCCATTCTTTTTTAAAAATAAGGGATAGTCCCAAGGAGGTGAGAAGATATCTTATTGTGGTTTTGACTTGCAATGTTACAATAATCTTTTTTCATGATCCTATAGGCCATCAGAATGTCTCGTTAGAAAAGTGTCTGTTTACATCTTTTGCCTAATTTTTTTTTAAGATTTATTTATTTATTTGTGCCTACAGAACTGGGGTACAGGCCAGAGGCTCAGGGGCGGTGAGAGGCTTCACCAGAGACAGAGTGGGGAGCAGAACAGGCAGATCTACGAAGTACACTGCTGAGGGAAGCAGCGGGCGGGTCAGGAGAGGTCTGGCTCACCATGTGGTCTCCTCCCGGGCAGGAGGCAGGCGGGAATCGAACTCATGCGGAAGTGGCTTCAGATTCTCAGTGCTGTGCTTTAACCCGCTGAGCCACCAGGGAGGGCCCTTTTGCCTAATTTTTAACTGGGCTCTTTTTGTTGGATTGTATTAGTACTTTGTAAATTTTGGAAATTAACCCCTTGGCAGGTATGTGATGGCAGCTTGTGTCTTCTTATTGCTGCTCTCATAACTCACCATGTTCCTTTAGGTCTATCGACCTTGTAAATGCACTTGCTGCATAGGGCATCTTTCCCCTTTTGCAAAGCCCAAGAATCTGTTTCTTCAAGACCCTGCACAAAAGTCAATTCTGCCTTTCTGACTGATTGCCGTCCCCACTCTGTATGTTCCAAAGTGCTATCTCTATCTGTGCTATAGCATTTGTCACATGGAATTTCTTATGAAGAGTTTTGTTTCCCTAATTGGACTACGAGTTCTTGGGGCCAGCCCCATGTTTTATGCATTTTTGCATCTGCTCCAGAGCCTAGCAAAGGGCATGTCAGTTAGAAGGCATTCATTATCAGTAGAGTGGATGAGTAGATTTCAGCCTTTGGCCCCAATGTAAGGTTATTATCAGATCAGAAACTATCTGCTTGATACGTGTTTATTAGATTATTTGGCTATCTATGGTTTAATGTGTATGCCTTTATGTTCTCCTTTAGTACTTAAAAAAAATCTTAAAAATTACTAGCTTTTCTTAATCATGTCACATCCTCTCTCCCCTTATAAAATGAGGTGACCCCTTGACTCCTCTTCCCTCCAGTCTTTGGCATACTTCCACAGGTGATAATGGTGTGGTTTGGAATTAAGGTGAGTGAATGCCATAGATAGTGCCTTAGCCTGCTCTTTTTTCATATCACAATCTTAGAATTGGGAATTATTTTTTTCTCTTTAAAGTGGCCCCTTTACAATGCGTGTTTCAGGTGGCAAAGAGGCACTGAAATAGGCAGGGTCTTGCATGTGTATCTGCTGTGTTCTCATGAATGCATTTCACCCCCAAAACTCTCCACTTGGGACTGGGAAGAGAGAACTCCCTGCAAGTCCATTTATCATATGACTAGAGTAAGTGAAAGGTAATCCTTTTTAAAATGTGAGTTATGGAACTTTGCAAAGCGCCATTTATCTATGTCTACTGTGGAAAGACAGAATGCAGGGCAAGTTTATTACTTAAACGGAGCGTGCTTTCTATTGTCTTTAAGGCTCCATTTCCCACACCTTGTTTCAGCACACAGTAATGCCCTAACATGGTGAATTTGTATGAAAACATTGATTAAGCACCTAGAGTTGCCTGTTACCAAACATGGAGCAGATACTGCAAAGTACATGCTTCGTAAGCAAGCTGCTAAATTATTAGACTTCTGGGTCTATTTCAGCACACCTTGGTTTAATCTACTGTATGTGAATAATATTTTCTTGGAAGAAAGCTAAACAGCTTTGGAAAGTGGAAACTCTTTAGAACTCTCAACCAGGCGGGTATGTTTTAGAAGGATAAAAGGGATCAACGCAGCCAACCATAAATTTGAAAAACTCCACTAAAAAAAGAAATGGAGGTATTTTCCTATTCCTTTTTCCTCTCATAAAAATGGTATTGAGGTGTGGCCATAAACCTTGAAACAAGACACATGACCTGCATTGACACAAAACGGATAACCCACAAAATATTTAGTTTCCAGTTTTAAGCAGTTTAAAGTGGAAAGAGAAAACATGTTCTCTCCAGACTTCCTTTTTAAACAACAACTTGCAGCAGCTGGTGAACAGACAAATGACAATAATGTCCTAATACATTTGAGACGAAACAGTCAAATGGCATTCACATTTATAAGGTTCAACAAACATTTATTCAGCACCTGCTTCTCCAGCTCCCTCACATCTTGTTTCCCCATGGACCAAAAATGGTTTTTATTTATTTATTTATTTAAAGACTTAAGACAGAGGGGGGAGCAGAACAGGCAGATGTACTGAAATACACTTACACTGCTGAGGGGAGCAGTGGGTCGGTCAGGAGAAGTCTCACCAAGCCATGTGGGTCACATCGCTGGCTGGGGAACTAAACTCATGCTGAAGATAGCTTTATAGTGCTGTGGGAGGGCCCCATTTAATGTTTATAAGGGAGTGATTGGTATATGGCAATGTGGAAGATACTAGCAGATATAGTAGGGTGCTTCCAGCACAGCCCAGGCACACAAATCACGACAAAATGCATATTTTCCTATGGGAACTAAAGCATGGACAGGACCTTTAGGAGGCCCTGCTCTGAATTCAGGTAAATAAACGAATAGTCGGCCCTGTCCACTCCGTGCTTAGCAGAGTTAAAGAAATTAATGCTTTAGCAGAAATTAAGGACTGGGGAAGGTACAAAGGAATGCAGAACCGTTAAAGAACCGTGTGTGTGTGTGTGTGTGTGTGTGTGTGTGTGGAGTTCACATGTCACAAGGAGGCCAGCAGCCTTCTTGGTAGGGTAGGAAACCCCTGGCCATTCTCTTAGCACATGAAGCTTCTGCAAGTCACTCCGTATCTCTGCATCCAATTTCATCCATTTCTATCAGAGGTTTTAAATAAAACTACACCCTCTTCCATTAGGGTGAACACTTAAAACCACATTTACACAAAATTACATTTTCACAAACGTCTATTAGAAGCCAAATTCCAGGCCCAAGCTATTAGCCAAATCCCATTAACAAAGGGGAAATTAAGAAAATTAGTTGATTAAAAACAGCTTCATCAAAGTACAACACTGATGCCAACAATATAAAGAGTTGAATTATTGATTTGGGGGGGGGGTTAGCAGATAGTGCATTAACAAGAGAAAAGTGATCTCCCCTCCTTTTGTCTGTTCTTCTCCACCCCACCCCCCGCTTTTACTTTGGGGATAAGTACTGACCTACTACAGTAACCGGGACGTAGGAAATAGAGGTGACCCAGTAAGGTGGGAGGGCATGAAGGTGGAGGTAAAGGAGAGGAGGCTGAGGGAGGAAGTGGGGACGCCTGGCCCGAAGGGGTAGAGGTCAGAAGCCGGGGACTAGGGCGCAATCCTGGCGTAGGAGCCACCACCCCCAACCTCCCCAGCCCGCGGAACCCCAACTGCAGCCGCTAGCCAGGCTGCTAGCGCGCACAGGGGTGCTCCCGCTGTTGGCCGCCAGAGGGCGCGGCCGAAGCCGGCGCGGTGGAACCCGAAGAGGGAGGAGGGGAGCCGCGGAGAAGGGTCAGCCGCGGCGGCACCGGCGACAGCGGCGCAGATCCGCTCCCCGCGCGTCTCCAGTCCCCGCGCCCAGGCAGTCCCCGCCGCCGGGATGCGGACGCCCGGCCACCGCCGCCGCCGCCTCGCAGTCTCAGCACTGCTCTCGCTCCTCACCTGCTCCCTGGGTAAGTAGCGGGCGGCTCAAGCGCGCACGGGAGAGGCGTGGGCTTCCCGGGCGCTGTCGCCCGCGTCCCGAGTTCGTGCGCTGAGGGAGGCGCCGGGTGGCTGAGCTCTGCCCCGCGGGCGCCCGCGTCCTGCC